AAAAAGTATGCGCAGAAAGCGACTTGCAAATAATAGTAGAACGGGTTGTAACCCGACGTTTAGTGAACGAGTCGACCAAAACAACTCTGATACGCCACGACATGCTACCTGTCAACCGCGTCCCGATCCGCAAGTGTTTGGATCGCAGACGAAAGATTAAATTTTGCAATTTGAGTCGCCGTTCTACCTTAACGTCTTGGCGATATGCTGGACTAGCACCTTATTCGGAATCCCCAGTAGTCGAGACGGAAGTAGAAGGATCATTCCATGTGACGGCAACGACGGATGTTGGTGTGTATAGACATTAGATCGCTTAAGATTGTGTTGCACTTCTTAGTGTGCAGTTTGCTTGCAAGTAAAAAAAGCAAACTTACAAGTTAGTCTGACCTGAACCACTATGTAGTACAATCCACACTACATTATTGGAAATCTTGCAGTGATATCTTTGGTTTGCGGGTGCATTGTACGCAACTTTGCAGCCGGTGCGCTATGCTTCTAGCGTGGCGTGATCGCCTAGCGGTGGAAAGCCGGCAGACACAATATTCGCTGAAAAGTACTAGATTAGTATTGAGCAATCAATAGATCCTGACCAGGTAACTTCAGCTTGCAAACTTATAGATGTAAAGTACAAGGGGTTCTTAACCATTAGGCACTTTGGTTTTTGCACTTGCCACACCTTTATCTCCCCTCCAGGAGTGCTTAATAGGCTTGCTACACAGTGCCTTCAAAGAGTGGGATGCAAAGTGCTCTGACGTATCCTATTATATTACGATAATGCGTGCACATAGTTGATCAGATCAGATTTTTCGTTTAGTAGCAGGCTCAGAGTGTCAGTATTCTTAACATCTGCTGTTTAGAATGCTGCTTCGAGTGGTGGACCAGTAGGCTATAAGCTTTTGAATACGAAATAATAATGCACAAGTTGCACTTGTAATTCCCAACCTTATCTTCATACTTGGGATTGTCGCTGCTGTAGAACTGGCGCTTGTGAAACCCCGGTCCTTTCTCCATCTTAGCACCGCAGTACACGCATGTTAAGTGTGGCGGCAGCGCGTTCTGTACAACGTCAGGACTCCAGCACACACCCTCATACGTTTAGTAGCAATGAATTCGGTAGTTCGTCGCCTTTTAAAACACGAAGCTGTGAATTAGATCTCCCTGAACCAGTACGCAAAATCCAATAGGAAGGATGGTGATCGAGGTTTTAGCCTCGTTCTGGCTGTGAAACACCCTCGTAAAAGCATAGTCTAGGTTTTGTTTGAAGTGCGAATATCATGCTCCCTGGAACTCTGCCGGGGTGGATGACCGGGTGTCCGCCGCTCGATAGTCTTGGTGGAGCTCGTGGCGAGTTCCTCCACGGTCGGACTGCATGAATGATAAGATTTCGGGCACCAGTTCAGGTTGATCAGTGTCAAAACCGCACGCAGTGCTGCTTTCAACTCCAGCCTAGAGGGTTATATTTGCTTGTCAGTGACGCGAGGTTGCCAGTAGGATTTGGTGTAGTGTTTATCGTCCAGTCCCTAACACGTTAAAAACCGCCCTGTTAGGTACGCTCTTTCGCTTCGACGAGAAGCTTCGGGACTGCATAACAGGGCAAAGTTAGTCACACGGAGAGAGCAGCGGCCCGACGGCCTCGGAGGTTGCCATTTCTAAATGCAATCTAATAATGAGGCCTCTATATATGAAGCGGAAAAAACAGATGTAGCGGAAAAATTCCCGTTACATCCGCTCTACCCGTTACATTTGGTGGGCTTCAGAAACCGGTTCTAACCGGTGCGCTCTCTATTGCGTGAGGGCTCTCGTTAGTTTCTCCCATCCAATGGACAACTCCCTATCTAAGGGCAAGCCCTCAAGGTATACTAGGATTTTAGCACGCAACAGATACTACTTCAACTTTTACCTGCCAGAATCCCTTTTTATAAAGATACAAACATATGCAATATAGGGTTATATAAAAACTCCATATAAAACGTCTTGGCATGGGTCAAAATACGATGAAGTTGCACAAGAGTTGACCCCAAAAGCGAGTTGCGCAAAAACTGACTTCCGCAGAGTTTAACCCCAAATAAAGGGGTATCAAGTCCCGGTTGCCGTGGCCTTCCTAGCTTACGACAACCCCGGCGCCACCAGTGCGCGACCTGCCAATCTAATGAGGATCTCAAGGACACGAACCGCTA